AATGGGGCATGATGCGGTTCGACATTTGGTAATAACCACAGCAGATTCTTCTCGCATGAAACTGAGGCAAACTTTGAGGGGACAGTTATGTTATTTGAAGCTAGATGCAGCAACTCGTGGTAATAAAAACTATCTTGCCATTAATTTACAATTTTATAATGAAACAAGTAATAAGTCTGAAATAAAAACCCTAGATATAGTTGACACTGAAGGAAATCATAACTCTTTGTATGTAAAAAATCAAATTAAAGAAACCTTAAAAAAATTTGATATTGAAGAAAAACAAATACTTAGTATTTGTGTAGATAATGCAGCAAACATGACATCTGCTGTAAATAAACTTGGAATTCGTGAAAGCATCACTCAAGGTGAAGGTAATGAAGAACCTGAGGATATTGATGAGAACAGTGCAAACATTTTGCAACAGTGGGTCAATGATCCTTCTGAAATATTACCACAGTGGGTTAATGAAGACACAAACATTCAATTAATGAGGTGTGGAATTCATACTCTTCAACTGGCCATTTGGGATGGATTAAAAAATGAACGAGTAACAAAAATTCTAGGAAGAATTAGGCAAGTTGTAGTAAAATTACGAACACCAACAATCCGTAGTATTTTATTGAAAATGTATGGAAAAACACAATCTTTAGATACAGTAACAAGATGGGGTTCAACATATGCAATGCTTGATCGTCTTCTGTTTTTCAAAGACTATTACGAACAAGTTGTAGCTGCTGCAGGAACAAAAGATTTAGAACTTAGCAAAGATGAATGGAATGAAGTAAAAAATATCAGAGATGTTTTGGAGAAACCTAATATCACTACAGTTGCCCTTCAAGCTGCTGATCTTACTCCAGGTATGTTTATGAAGGAGTGGTGTAAACTTGAAAAATGTTTGGAAGAAAATGGAGAATATGTTGCGCTAGGAATTTTATCTTCTATGAGAAAGCGGAAAGAAAAGCTTTTACACAACACACATTTTCTTGCTGGAGTGTATGTTGATGCTAGATACAGAATCTTATTGAATAAATCAGACAAAATCAAAGCCAGAGAAGGTTTGGCTGATATTCAATTGAGATTAAAAAGAAAAAAAGTATTTGATTCAGCAAAAGAGTCAACATCTGTTAATGTGTCCCAGCCAACATGTGATTTAAATTTTATCTCTGAAGATGATGATGATGATTTTGAAAATGAGCTAGATAGAAGAGAAAACACACGAAATCACACATTGAAAATGATTGTGAAATACAAAGGCATTTTGAAGAGGACTGTAAAGCTATTGAGGATGTTGGAAGAATAAAGGTGAATGTCTTCGAAGCCATTGCACATTATCCAGATCGAATCAGACAGTCAAGCAGAATAGCTGCAAGTATGCCAACATCACAAGCCAGCGTTGAAAGATTATTTTCAGCTTTGAAATTAATACTAAGTGATAACAGACAATCGATGAAAGAAGATTTGCTTTCCGCTATTTTGTTTATTAGAATGAATGATTGAATTATTGACTTAACTTGATTATCTTGCGTCTGTATGGTGTATCATTTTTATTTTTAGAACCTGTACTTTCTTAATTTTTTGTATATTTCATCAATTTAACTATACGTTACGGAAGTGGTACTAAAAATCAATCAATTGATTGATTAAAAAAATATTTGAAAAAATTTGTGTTAATTGATTCTAAAACACACTCCCGCCTCGGAGCACGGAGCGGAGCGGAGCAAACTTTTTTTATGCCGGAGCGGAGCTGGAGCGGAGCAATTCAAAAAAGTGCTTGCTCCAAAGCCCTGGTTCTGATGACTCTGAAGCAACACAGTTATCCATTGAAAGCTTTGATCAAAGCACACATCTGAAGCAATCTCAACATTCTACGTTTAGTGCAGTTTCATTAGTACAATCTGTGAAGTTCGAAGAGCAGCCATAGTTAGCACAATTTTAAACAAGTCCGGTGTTAAAATAACAACTCCTTCTCAGTCAGGTGTCTATAGAGCGGTATACAGAGAAGCAAGTAAAGTAATGAAAACATTAATGAATACTTTGTGTAATAGCTCATGGTGTTTACATTTTGATGGTAAAATTATTAAGAAAAAAGAACACCATGTAGTTCTATTAAGAAATGAAGTAAAAGAAGTGAGGCTTGCTGTCTTAGTGTTACCAGATGGAAAAGCTACTACTATTGCATCTGCTATTCAAAAAACGTTGGATGATTATAATCTATGGGCAGCTATAAAGATGATAGTGTCAGACACTACAAATGTTAATACTGGGTCAAAGTCTGGTGTTGTGGTGAGACTTCAGAAACTTTTTGTACAATACGGTGAATCTGCGCCAGTTTTTATAGGTTGTCAGCACCACATACTTGATCGTGTTCTTAGACACGTGTGTGATGCATTGCTTGGCGATTCAACTGAGTCTCCTAACATGAATTATCCATTTGTGAGTAAGATACTTAAAGATTATGAAATGTTAAAAAAAGATTTTGAAAGTAAAGCAAAGAAATGTACTCCAAATCTAAAAGAACAGGAAGTAGGCTGGAGAGATGATATG